ATTTGGAAAGAATTTATTTGCAAATTATGGTGGAAAATAAGTATTTGGTCAATATCAAAAGTTCATCTCAATACTTTGTTATATATCCTTTGTTGGCAATGACAGAGGTCAAACGTTTCCTGTAAGTCTTCACAAGGTTGGCTCACACTGTTGCTGGTATGTTGGCCCATTCCTCCATGCAGATCTCCTCTAGAGCAGTGATGTTTTGGGGCTGTCGCTGGGCAACACGGACTTTCAACTCCCTCCAAAGGTTTTCTATGGGGTTGAGATCTGGAGACTGGCTAGGCCACTCCAGGACCTTGAAATGCTTCTTACGAAGCCACTCCTTCCTTGCCCGGGTGGTATGTTTGGGATCATTCTCATGTTGGAAGACCCAGCCACATTTCATCTTCAATGCCCTTGCTGATGGAAGGAGGTTTGCACTCAAAATCTTACGATACATGGCCCCATTCATTCTGTCCTGTACATGGATCAGTCGTCCTGGTCCCTTTGTGGAGAAACAGCCGCAAAGCATGATGTTGCCACCCCCATGCTTCACAGTAGGTATGGTGTTCTTTGGATGCAACTCAGTATTCTCTCTCCTCCAAACACGACGAGTTGTGTTTCTACCAAACAGTTCTATTTTGGTTTCATCTGACCATATGACATTCTCCCAATCCTCTTCTGGATCATCCAAATGCTCTCTAGCAAACTTCAGACGGGCCCGGACATGTACTGGCTTAAGCAGGGGGACACGTCTGGCACTGCAGGATCTGAGTGCCCGGCGGCGCAGTGTGTTACTGATGGTGGCCTTTGTTATGTTGGTCCCAGCTCTCTGCAGGTCATTTACTAGGTCCCCCCCGTGTGGTCCTGGGATTTTTGCTCACCGTTCTTGTGATTATTTTGACCCCACGGGGTGAGATCTTGCGTGGAGCCCCAGATCGAGGGAGATTATCAATGATCTTGTATGTCTTCCATTTTCTAATTATTGCTCCCACAGTTGATTTTTTCACACCAAGCTGCTTGCCTATTGCAGATTCAGTCTTCCCAGCCTGGTGCAGGTCTACAAATTTGTTTCTGGTGTCCTTCGACAGCTCTTTGGTCTTCACCATAGTGGAGTTTGGAGTGTGACTGTTTGAGGTTGTGGACTGGTGTCTTTTATACTGATAGCAAGTTAAAACAGGTGCCATTGATACAGGTAATTAGTGCAGGACAGAGGAGCCTCTTAAAGAAGAAGGTACAGGTCTGTGAGAGCCAGAAATCTTGCTTGTTTGTAGGTGACCAAATACTTATTTTCCACCATAATTTGCAAATAAATTCTTTCCAAGTCAGCCAATGTGATTGTCTGGATTTGTTTTCTCATTTTGTCTCTCATATTTGAGGTTTACCTATGATGCCAATTACAGGCCTCTCTCATCTTTTTAAGTGGGAGAACTTGCACAATTGGTGGCTGACTAAATACTTTTTTGCCCCACTGTATATATACGTGATTCGCGCTCCCGCGGTGTTCACACCCCTCCCAGATAGCGTCAGATTGCCCGTCAGTACACCAGTCATCACATTTAACCCCTTGATTGCCAGGAACACGCTGATGCACAATAAACCTCCATTGCTAGTATAGTGTCTGAATGGATCAATATCTTTGATCAGATCAGCACTATACCAGCGTTCACATTAGTATAGTGTCCCCAAAAACGCAACGTTAGTGGGATCAGCCCCGGCACCTGCCAGCACCTGTGTTAAGCCCCTATGCTTACCCCCCCCTTTCTCCCCCAGCAAGTGCAGTGTCAGCAAGTCACTGTAACTTGATACACACAAAACTGCAGTGTTCGCAGAATCAGGCCTGATCTCTGTTAGCACTTGTCAGTAAATTTTGATGACTCTCATATGCGGCAGAATGCCAGTACTAGTGCCACGCTACCTTTTGGTGAACTGGTGAGTATCAGCGGTCTAGTACATCCTGGTCTTTCACATATCTCTTAGATTGTAAGCTCCCAGGATCAGGCCCTCCTAACCCTTTTGTATTGAACTGTATTGTTCTGTATTGTCTCCCGTTATATTGTAGCGCTGAGCAAACTGTTGGCGCCATAAATCCTGTATTATAATAATAATAATAATACCAGCACTGCAGTATGACTTGCGAGACGTGGTGAGTCCCATAAGTGCAGTACAAGCTGGGGCGGTGGCGAGCACAAGTACTGTCCCGCAACCACAAAGATTTTGCACACATGCCCGTAGAGCTCCTAGTATCCTTCCGGATGTGTTTGCAAATCCCGATTGACAGCCCACAAATTCTGCAGCACCCGTACTTCCCCCATTCACTGCCCAACCCCGGAATTCAGGTGGAAATAGCAAATTTAACTACTCCCGTTGATTTTAGGAGCTGTTTTTCACGGAATATCTGTATGCATTGATTGTGGATCAAAGCAATTTATATGCACAACAATATATCCCCACCAACCCAAATTCAAACCTTGCCAGACCAGTCTCATGGAAACTCATTACGGTTTTCGAATTTACATTTTTTTTTTAGGCCTAACCCTCAACATGGGCATTACTAAAAGAAATGAATTTCGGTTGTATTGGTCTGCAGACCCGATTCATCATATGCTCGTGTTCTCTGCTGCCATGGTCAGGCATAGATATGAGAGTATAATGTGTTTTATGCATTTCAATGACAATACATTCTGTCATCCTTGGGGTAACCCTGAATTTGACCGGCTCCACAAAATTCAGCCCCTCACAAATCACCTTAACCAAAAATTTTCAGATGTCTATACTCCCCAGCAAAACATCTGTGTTGATGAGTCCCTCATTAATTTTTCTGGCCGCCTTGCATTCAAACAATTCTCCCCAGCAAGCGTGCCAGATATGGGGTGAAGATGTAGAAGATCTGTGAGAGGGCAACAGGCTATACATATAAGTTTTGGATTTACAAGGGAAAAGATAGTCACAAGGAGCCCCCCGGATGCCCAGACTACATGAGGAGCAGTGGCAAGATAGTTTGGGACTTGGTGTCATCCTTTTTCCATATGGGGTACCACTTATACGTGGACAATTTTTATTCAAGCGCACCACTATTTAGACATTTGTACAATCTTGGAACTGGCGCTTGTGGCAAAATGTGTCCTAATGTGTGCCCACCATTAGAAGTGGGTGGATGCAGGGCAGTATATTCTAATGGTGGGCATACCACACACTTTTTTTGGCAGAGATTTCTCTTTTTTTTATTCAGTCCACAGGCTGCATACAAAAAAAAAGAACATAGCATATATACCCAACAAGGACCAGCAGCGTACTGGTACATCACGGGACTTTAAATGGTTATACCAGGATGATGCCCACAGCTGCAGTCATCATCCTGGTGTCGTTGTTTTCAGCCGGCGATCGGCTTTCATGTAAAATTAATCCTAGTGGCTAACTAGCTGCAGGATTGCTTTTACAAGCAGCGGGAGATGATGCCCCCCCCTCCCCCGCTGCGTTCCACGGCCTTTTGGTTTGATTAGATAATGTAAGGGCAGAGGAGATATCCAGAGTCTGATAGACCCCAGATTTCTCAAAAAAGAATATATGACAACGCCCATTGAAGTTATAGGGGATATTTGCATTCCTTGTGATAGCATTAAAAGTGATAAAAAAAAAGAAATGAAAGGTACAATGTAAAAATAATAAAAGAATCAAAATAACAAAAAAAAAAAAAAAACTCGCCCCTCCCATGCACGCACACCTGTGTGCACAAGCCTTGACCCTGTGCCGGTTTGTAAACAGCGGTTGCACAATGCATGTGAGGTATTGCCGTGAAAGTCAGATCAAGGGCAGTAATTCTAACACTAGACCTCCTCTGTAAATCTAAAATCGTAGATTTTAAAGGCTTTTAAAATGTTGCCTATGGATATTAAAAATGTATGCAATATGTCGCCATTGCACGGTGCATGCGCAGTTTTAAAGCATGTCATGTTTGGTATCTATTTACTCAACATACCATTATCTTTTATATTTTACCAAATAATTGGCCAATATATTGTGTTTTTGTGCATTAAAAGTAAAAAAAGTGTATTTTTTTTTTTAAATTTGCTTTTGAAAAATCGCTGTGCGAGTACTATGTGCCATAAAAAATTGTAGTACCCACCATTTTATTCACTAAGGTGTCTGCTTTAAAAAAAATATATAATGTTTGGGGATTTAAATTAATTTCCTAGCAAAAAATACAGATTTTTTTCAAGTGAACAAAAAGTGTCAGAAAAGGCTTGATCTTCAGGTGGTTAGAAGAGTGAATGATGTGTGGCATGAACTTCTAATGCTGGGCATAAAACGCCCCCACCCCCCAAAACTACCCCTTTTTGGAAAGTAGACACCCCACACTATTTGCTGAGAGGCATATTGAATCAATAGAATTTATTTTTTTTACCACAAATTTTTGGAAAATGACAAAAAAATTTTTTATTTTTTTTACACAAAATTGTCACCTAAATGATTTACTGCTCACACATGCCATGGTTATATGTGGAATTACTCCCCAAAATACATTCTGCTACTTCTCCCGAGTATGGGGGTACCACATGTGAGAGACATTTTGGCAGTCTAGCCAAGTACAGGACCCCAAAATCCAATAAGCACCTTCAGTCTTTTAACCACTAGCCTACAGGGCACTTATATCCCCTTCCTGCCCAGGCCAATTTCCAGCTTTCAGCGCTGTCACACTTTGAATGACAATTGCGCGGTCATGCATCTCTGTACCCATATGAAATTTTCATCATTTTTTTGAGACAGGTAGAGCTTTCTTTTGGTGGTATTTAATCACCTCTGAGATTTTTATTTTTTCTTAAACAAACCAAAAACCACTGAAAATTTTGAAAAAAAAAAAAGTTTTTTCTTAGTTTTTGTTATACAATTTTGTAAATAAGTGATTTTTCTCCTTCACTGATGTGCGCTAATGAGGCTGCAGTGATGGGCACTGATAGGCTGCACTGATGGACACTGATAGGTGGCACTGATGGGCACTGTTGAGGAGGTACTGGTAGGTTGCACTGATGGGCATTGACAGGCATCACTGATGGGCACTGAAAGGCAGCACTGATACATGACACTGATATGGCACTGATAGGCAGCACTGACTGGCACTGATAGGCGGCACTGACTGGCACTGATAGATGGCACTGACTGGCACTGATAGGCGACACTGTCTGGCACTGATTGGCAGCACTGATAGGTGACGCTGATTGGCATTGATAGGTGGCACTGACTGGCACTGATGGGTGACATTGAAAGGCAGCTCAGATGGGCACTGATATGTGGCATTGATGTGCACTAGTATGCACTGATATGTGGCATTGATGTGGCATTGATGGGCACTGGCACGTGGCGCTGATGAGCACTGACAGGTGGCACTTCTGGGGCCACACTGATCATCAGGGCACACTGATTATCATTGCCCTGATGATCAGTGTACATGTCCCCTCCGCGGAATGCCGATTACCAGCTCTCTTCTCCTCCTCTCGAGCTGTCAGCGTGACAGCTCGAGAGGAGAGAAATGCCGATAACTGGCATTTCCGTGTTTACACGTGATCAGCTGTGATTGGACACAGCTGATCACATGATCGAGCCGACATCTTCGGCTCTTTCCGTGATCTGCTGTGTCCAAGGGACACAGCGCACCAGCGATCGCCGCGCTGCGCGCTCCCTGAGCCACGCATGCGCAGTAAGAATGGTAGGATGTCATATAACATCCTATCAGAACGAGAGGACCACCTTGCGCCTGTCATTGTACTATAGGGCGGGCGGAAGGTGGTTAAAGGGCTTTATTTCCTCATTACACTTCCAGACTACCTATCACAGTTTCGGAGGCCCTGAAATGCCAGGATAGCACCTAACCCCCCCAAATGACCGCTTTTTGGAAAGTAGACACCCCAAGGAATTTGATAAAAAGCACGGTAAGTATTTTGCAGATCTCATTTGTTGCCACAAGTTTTTTGGAAAATGAAGAAAAAAAGCAAAAACATATTTTTTTCTATTCTTTTTTTTACATTTCAAAACCTTGTGAGAAAAAATGAGATCTGCAAAATACCATGCCTCTCTTTAAATTCCTTGGGGTGTCTACCTTCCAGAAAGGGGTCATTTGGGGGGTTTGGTGCTATCCTGGCATGTCAGGGCCTTCGAAACTGTGATAGGTAGTGAGGAAGTGTAATGAAGTTAAGCACCTTCAGGCTTTCAAAGTGGTCATTGGATTTCAGGCTCCTGTATGTGGCTAGGCTCCCAAAAAGTCTCACACACGTGGTACCCCCATACTCGGTAGAAGTAGCAGAATGTATTTTTGGATGTAATTCCACATATACCCATGGCTTGTGCGAGAAATAAATAATTTAAATGACAACTTTGTGTAAAAAAAAAAAAATGTTTTTGTCATTTTCCAGAAACTTGTGGAAAAAAAATAAATCTTCCATGAACTCAATATGCCTCTCAGCAGATAGCTTAGGGTGTCTACCTTCTGAAAATGGGTCATTTGAGGGTGTTTGTACTATCCTGGTATTTTAGCACCTCAAGAAATGTGATGGGCGGTCAGAAAGTAAAACCTGTGTAAATTCCATTATCTATACCATAGTTTGTAGACGCTATAACTTTCACACAAAGCAATAAATATACACTTACTGGGATTTTTTTAACCAAAAACATGTAGCAGAATACATTTTGGCCTAAATTTATGATGACATTTTAGTTTTTGTTTGGATATTTTTTATGACCAAAATGAGAAAATAGTTTTTTTCAAAAAAAAATTTTTTCTTCAAAACTTTTTCTGTTTATAGCGCCAAAAATAAAAAGCGCACAGGTGATCAAATACCACCAATAGAAAGCTCTATTTGTGTGAAAAAAGGACATAAATCTCATTTATGTACCATATTGCATGACCGCGCAATTGTCCGTCAAACTAGCGTGGTGCTGCATAGCAAAAAAATGGCATAAATTACAGTATCTATACCATAGTTTGTAGACGCTATAACTTTCACATAAAGCAATCAATATACACTTATTGGGATTTTTTTTTTACCAAAAACATGTAGCAGAATACATTTTAGCCTAAATTTATAACTAACTTTGAGTTTACTATATATTATTTATAGCTGAAAGTAAAAAATATAGTTTTTCTTCAAAATTTTTGTTCTATTTTTATTTATAGCATGAAAAATAAAAAGCGCACAGGTGATCAAATACCACGGAAAGAAAGCTCTTTTTTGTGCAAAAAGGACGTTAATTTTGTTTGGGTGCAGCATTGCACGACCGCGAAATTATCAGTTGAATTAGTGCAATGCCAAGTAGCAAAAAGAGGCCTGGTTAGGAAGGGGGGTAAATCCTCAGGAGGGCAAGTGGTTAAAGATGATCCATTCTTCAGTAGGATCTTCTGACCTCCATCTCTTGTCTGAGCAGTCGCACCTTTTTATCATTCTTTTATTTCTACTCAGACACTGAAAAAATATAACCAGTCAATAAAAACATAGATAAGCACTCCAACAACAATAACATTGAGGAAACAGAAAGTTACTTTAATGCAGTAACGTTCAAAGGTTCTTTAAACAGAAGAATCCCAGTTGTGTAAATTTATTGCAGGAAACTACTAGTATTACAGTATTGTATTATTATTGTTAGTAGTAGCAGTGTATTATTGTGTAATATCCAGAGACTAATTATTTCTTACATATATTTCCTTCAGCAGATATAGAGATAAACCAATCACAATCACAAATCTTGTAGACTTCACCACCACACCATCCCAAGATACGCTCTGTTTTAACCTTGGAAACTACTAAGCAACTTATTCACTTCCTTGTTATATCTCTCCTTGACTATTGTAACTCCCTCCTCATTGGCTGACCTCATCACAGGCTATCCCCTCTTCAGTCTATCATGAATGCTGCTGCCAGACTCATCCACCTTAAAACCCGTTCTGTATCTGCCATCCCTCTCTGCCAATCCCTCCACTGGCCTCCGCTCAGTGTCCTCCACCCCTCTCTGCCAATCCCTCCACTGGCCTCCATTCAGTGTCCTCCACCCCTCTCTGCCAATCCCTCCACTGGCCTCCACTCAGTGTCCTCCATCCCTTTCTGCCAATCCCTCCACTGGCCTCCACTCAGTGTCCTCCATCCCTCTTTGCCAATCCCTCCACTGGCCTCCACTCAGTGTCCTCCATCCCTTTCTGCCAATCCCTCCACTGGCCTCCACTCAGTGTCCTCCACCCCTCTTTGCCAATCCCTCCACTGGCCTCCACTCAGTGTCCTCCACCCCTCTCTGCCAATCCCTCCACTGGCTTCCCATTGCCCAACGGATAAAATTCAAAACATTAACAATAACATATAAAGCCATTTATAACTCTGCCCCAAATTACATCACCAATTTTGTCTCCAAATATCACCCAAACCGTACTCTCCACTCCTCCTGCTCTATAGCTCCCTTGTCTCCTCCTCCCATGCTTGTCTCCAGGACTTCTCCAGAGCCTCCCCCATCCTCTGAAATTCTCTACCCCAATTTATCAGACTATCGCCTACTCTGCTCACTTTTAGGTGATCTCTGAAAACCTATCTCTTCAGGGAAAGCTATCCTACCCTCAGCTAATAATGGAATCTTCTATTCCTCCTACCAGTCCATCCCCCACAGTTACTACTTTTTGTACCAACAGCCCCTCCCTCTTAGACTGTAAGCTCCAAGGACCCTCTTGTATTGAACTGTGTTGTTGCTGTAGTGTCTCCCGTTATATTGTAAAGCGCTGAGCAAACTGTTGACGCCATATAAATCCTGTATAATAATAATAATAAACCAATCAGCAACATCTTGTTTTCATACTTACATCTCTACAATATACAAAGGCTCAGTGATTTCTTTCCTTTAATGTTTCCTGATATTGCTACTGTTTGCTGTGCAACTATATGTACTCATCTTTGGAACATTATAATTATTGTATTATCTCTACCCACCCTTGTTATATCTATTACTTTGTACAGCACACATATAAACAATTATTATCCAAAATAATTATAATATTAACAACAGTTTTCTTTACCATTTACGAAGAAGATAATACCCTAAATGTAGAAAGCAGTAAGCTGGTAACTTCAACGTTGCAAAATAATGAATTTTTGTACAAGAAATAGTAGCAGCAAAAAGGCTGCTAAGTTTTGAGAATGCGGTCAACTTTATAATTTTACAAAGTTCCAAAATAAAAAGATACAACACATACATCACCATTCACATTAAAAGTTTGTTATTATAGCTTTAACCACTTCAATATCAGGCACTTTTACCCCCTTCCTTCCCAGGCCAATTTTCAGTTTTCAGCACTGTCGCACTTTGAATGACAATTGCGCAGTGATACAACACGGTACCCATATGATATTTTGATCATTTGTTTTCACACATAGAGATTTCGTTTGGTGGTATGTAATCACCACTGGGATTTTTCTTCCTTTTTTTTTGCTAAGTAGACAAAGAAGGACCAAAAATGTTGAAAATAAATTTTTCTTCATTTCTGTTATACAATTTTGCAAATAAATAACCTTTCTTCATAAATGTAGGCCAAACTGTATTCTGCTACATTTATTTGGTGAAAATAACCCAAATCAGTGTTTATGGTATTAATATCTGAAAATCAATGGATCCTGATGTACTAACGACATATCTCATTTCTTAAGGTCCGAAAATGCCAGAACAGTCCAAATACCCCCCAAATGACCCCTTTTTGGAAAGTAGACAGTACAAGGTAATTAGTGAGAGGTATGGCGAACCTTTTGAAGTAATTTTTAATCACAATTTTTTGGAAAATGGAGAAATTAAAAAAAACACATTTTCACATACTGACACCAGTGTGGTACAGCGTCATCATACAACTGATGTGGCAGTGATCAGGGACACTAACTGGGGACAGTATGTAAAAAACCAAAACTTTTTTTCAATTTTTTCAAATTTTTTTATTATATTTTTTTCTTTCCTTTACGATTTTTATAACACGCTGTGTCCAGAGCAATATAATGATACCATAGTTACATTGTACTGCTCTGGGGAAGTGTTGAGGATTTTCTTTTTCTTTTTTTACACATTATGATTGCTTTTACCAGTGAATTTCACTGGCATAAAAAAAACATTTTTACTTAACCCCTTCCCGCCGGCGCCTGCCGGCCCTTTAAGAGTTTCAGACGCTGGAGGGCGGGGCGGGTGGGGTGTGGTTTAGGGGTCATGTGACCGCCGTGACGCATCGTCACGGCGGTCACATGATCAGGAAAGGTCCCGATCGAAAGAGCAGACCGGGACCTTTCCGCGAGTACCGCACATGTGTGCTGGGAGCGTGCAGGGCTATATTGCAGTTTACCAATTCTTA